CCAATTTCGGTCGAACCGCGCACAGCTTCGCTCTGTCTCACAAATGTGTGTGTATGTTCGTGACGTTTTTGTATAAATGTAATGCATTTTTCATTTGGTGATGTTAACAATTTCGTCGATACGAACGCAATGTTCCGTATTTAATCATATCCCAACGAAAACCACACAATCGTTGCAGTAATCAAATCCAAACGACCGAATGCAATTGCATTACATTTGCTTTGGCACTGTGTAAATAGATGACATTGCAGCAGTGAGAGCGAACGAGAGAGACTGAGCAAAGGAAAAAATCGAACCAATTTTTCCAAGCATTGAACGTATAGTGAGCGAGAGAGCAAAATGAGAGACGCAGATCACATTACGCTCTTTATATGCGGCAAATATAAGAGCAAAAGTAAGCGCTGATTGTGCACAAAAACGAGAATGAAAAAAATTACACAAAGAAACAAGTCATTCTCTCTTTCTCTCATTTATTGGGCCACCACACGAGTGTATGATGCAGTACATGTAATTTTATGTACTAGCGGAACTATTTCATTTGAATTTTAAATTTATATGGTTCTCATCATGGAACGCAGTACGACGATTCGGTTTAATCAAATAAAAACCTTTGGTGAGTGAAAGAGTGCGCGCACAAGAGAGAGAGAGAGAGAGGGACCGCGTCAAAGGAACGAAAGCAATTTTGTTGAATGCATGTGATTTATCCTTGTAAATATACGGTGAGTGAGTGTGTGGACCTTTTTTTCCCTCTCAATCGCTTGAATGCGTGTGGCAACTGCTGAAGCTTAAATCCTTTTTTAATTAAATACCAAAGAAGGCGATCGAGAGCGAGACGGGGCAAAAGAAAGAGAGAACATCTCAATGGAATTACATTTGAACAGGTATATAATTATTATACGGGAGAAAATGAATGTTAAAAGAATTCAATGGTAAAATCATTGCTTTTGTGAAGAACCGCAAAAAAGAGGGAAATTCTCAATTGCACCTCTTTCTTTCTCTTTGAGAACAAGTATTTTTTCAAGTTTTTGTCTCACTGATTGAAAACCGTCGCCAACTGTTTTAATTAATTAATAAACACGGGTGAAACTTTTTTTCCGTGAGAATTTTGGATACTTTTCCAAGTGATTTTTACTGTCTTTTACGCTCCCTCTCTTCAACTCTTTCTCATTGGGTCACGAAAAAATCGAAAATGCCATCACAATCCATTCACGAGGAACAAAATGAATCGATAACGAAACTGAATCTTTTCAGATCAACGGTCTGAATTGCACGATGCGCAACAATGAACCCACGGAAAGAATGCGAATATAAATATTAAACCGCGCATTTTATCATCAATAAATTTCGATGGAGCACCTTTTGAGCCGTTGCCAAGTTTTTCCGGGGCGAATGTAAAAACTTTTTTTTGTTTTCTCATTTCACTTCTCATTTTTTTTCCTGTTGCTGTGATTATTTATGAACGTGCGCCAAACCAATCGTTTATCGGCGTTTCCACAAGGATACCTCGAACCGCGGACTCAGAACTCAGATGAGAAAATGCGTTGCGGGCTTAAAACGGGAAAAAATGATAATCATATTACGAGCCAGTTGTTCCATAACATTTTCACCTTTTGCCTCGTTTGCAAAACACATGAGCACGGTATGCTCAAACACACACACACACACACATCCTCACACCACTGACTGATAAAGAAATGGAAATGAGGAAATGGACAAACAGAGAATAGACAATGGGAAAAATTTAATTCGTTTTCAAGAGATCACAGCATCGAAATGGCTGCCAAAGTGCCAATTTCGGGCCGAAGAAAATTCCCATAACCGCAATTCGCTCATTTTCGAATATATATGTACATTTTTCCATTGCACAAGCAAACTTTCTTCGAATTCACCGCATGCCGTGTTCTTCACAGAAAAAACAACAATGAAACCATAACGCTAGCAGCAGCCGGAGCAGCAGCCAATAAATGGAGTACGATGATGCAAACTCACCCACCGAAAAAGGTTTATTGGTTTAAACTTGAAATCGTGATGTGTAATTTATGAAAATGTTTTTTAAGCCGTTTTCGGAATGGCATACGGGGTTCGAGAGAACAAAACAGTTAACAATCAGGCAAGCGCGCAGAAAGTGTGCAAAACGGAACCGTGTAACTAACAAGAGTCATGAAAGATAAATGAATGAAAGACTTAAGTACGGTAAGCGTTTGAACAGCAATTGCTGCATGTTTCGCTTCGTGTTATTTTTTTGTTCTTCTTCTTCTTCTTTCGATTTTGGAACGCACAGAGTCTAGCACCATGTCGTATAGGTAGCGATGTGGTGAGCTGGAGGCATGCATGAGCGTGTTTATGAAGGAAATGCATGATTATGAACGACATGTTCTGTACCGTTTTACTAGTGATAATTCACATACACACACATAAGACGAAACAAAATAGCTGAGAAAAGAAAAGAATTACAAATGCTATCCATAAAATTATCATCTAAACTGACACTATAATTTGGTTTCGTTATTACTATTCTTCTTTTTTTTTGCCTTCGTTTGCAGATGCTTCGTTCCCATAAGTGAAATGTCGTGTTCAGCCGTTGAACGGTTTGTAATCTCGAATGCTTATAATTTAGTGGAAATGAATCTCGGGCGAACGAGCGGGCGGTTGGCTGAACGCGGTACAAAGAGTGTTTGGAGCAAGGAGAAAAGAATTCTTGCGGCGCTGAAAATTTCCCGTCTTGAGCTGAGCAATGCGCCGTACAGTCGATTTGTCGACGATTCAAAGTGAACACTCATAGCATCACATGTATCGCACACATGCACACAACTGTCGAAACCAATGAACTATGGATTTTTCTCTCTCTTTTCTCTTTCTCTTTTTGGCTGTTCGTTCATGTTCTTTTCGATCGTTTTTTCTGTTTGGTGCCGTGTTTCGAGTTCGTGTTATGTTCAAATATATTCGTAAATGTTTGTGAGTGTGTCTGTTAACACGATCGTTGTTTCGAGTTGCATCGCTTGTGTGAGCGATGGTTTGTTTTTGTTTTCATTTTTGTTCAATTTTATTGAGAATATGTTACGTCGTGTGTAGGTTTACATAATGCTGTTAAATGCATATTCATGGCCGGGGCCGATAAATGTATATTATTCTGGTTTGAATTTGAACCCTGAACCAGCCAGTCAACGATGTATATGATTATTTGTGCCTTTTTCGTTTTCATCGTGGCCATAAATGTTCTGTCGTCTACTTTGGACTATTCTTAAATTGCGTTTCACACTTCAAACCCAGTGAAACTTTAATGCAAATTCGTTCGTTTCGCCCATGATGCAGTTATCGCGCACACAAATGACTCTTCGCTTAAATAGCACGAAATTGAGTTCTAAAATAAAAACAACAAATACGCGCTTAAAAACCAACAAAAAAAAACATCGAAATTAATATGGAATGGTGGTAATAAAAAAAAGACGAAACCAACGTCATTATAACGCTTGGTGATGGCATATGTGCACCACACAACACCTTTTGAACTTGAAGACTTTCCAACCAAATTATACAATGTGTGTATAGTATTAATACGAGGCTGAAGTTTGCCATTCTGTTTAATATCTCATTATTAGTGTTTGCCATTCCTTCCACATTTTCCATTCCTGTTTCTCAGTTTGCTCCTTCGTTCGCATCATGCATCGTTGAGCTGAGCTTGTTTACATCACGAATATTTCAAGGGAATATTCGGATACTTTATGGACTCGTTTTGTGCGAATATTTCCATGTGTCGTATATATATGGTACACTCATCGCTCTATCTTTCTCATTTGTGAGCATCGAGCAGATGCAACAAATAATATTGCAAATATTTTTATTTCTATTTTGACCGATGAAACTACCAACCCAAATGAATTTCAATGAATGAGCAGCACTTTGGGCTGGATGTGTTTCAGTACACATTTAAGGGAGAAAGGGAATTAAAAAAAATAATAATACAGCAATAGAGTCGAAAATAAAACGATATTCATTGAAATATTTGTGTTGTGAAAGGTTGTACCATTTTGGTCGATGTCACACATTCCTCTAACTTAATTATACAACTAACAAATGTTTTCTATGTTTCATTTCATCTCCCTCATACACTCTTACTCTCTTTCTATCTCTTTCTTTGTGTTTGCGTCGTTTCCTCGTTCACGTTAGCTATAATCATTTTGTGTCGGCATTTCAGAGTTTCAAGATGGAACATATGTGCCCAAAAATATTTGAAAACTACGAGCGCTCTAGCACGATGATGGTTTTTTAGTCGGAAAACACACATAGTGTTTTTGTATAATGCGTACACATTTCGAGGCAGCACAACACACAATAATAATACTCTTCATTTCAGGCTCAGTTGCATTGAAACGAGCGCTGTGCTCATTTTTCATTAGAACACAGGATCGAAAAACGAAGCGTAAGCATCAATGCATTTGCTCTTGTTCTCTTTGTCCTTTCACTTCATTCGCTGTTGTTGAAATTGGTTTTGGGATCATTGAACAAGCATCAAGCAGGTAAAATAAAGAGGATAATAATTTTTTTTAAAGAGGAATCATTTTTTGTTGTTGTTCTGAAAATGAAATTTTTGTTTTAAAAATTGGAATTCTTTCTAGAGAGCATTCATTTGTACACACAAATCAATATCACATGCACAATGTATGGGCAATAAAAAATGATCGAGAGAGCAAAGGAAGAAGAAGGTAAAGTCGTAAAATGCACACAGTACACACAGGCAAAAGACAATGGTTGAATGGAAATGAGCATCGGTTTTTGGAGCGAACGAAGAGAAGATTAAAAGTTGATAAGAGTCAAAATGAGGGCAATAAAGTAATAAATTTTCAAACACGTCTTTTTGTGTCAAAAGAAAACGGTTTGCAACGTGCTCAAAGTTGAAATGCTGAAAAGTCTGAAAATTTCACACCACCATCACCATCGCGACCATCACCACTGCTACCAAATCGACCAGAACTGAAAAAATGATAACAATAACAACTTACTTGTGCAATTGTTTGATGATGAGTCTGTTTCTATGCCAAATGCTGATGTGCTTCTCGACGGTTTTTGTTTTCTTTCTCGTTCTGTTTCCTATCTTCGCTTATCACCAACGTACATAAAGTTCGACGAGTAATAAAACTTCGTTCACACGGAATATGGCACACGCGAAATTGTTCCTCAACGCATTCAAATTCACCAATCGACAGAAACTTCGATGAAGTTCACTTGAATTCTTTCCTCTTTTTCTTCCTCTATATTTTCTTCTTGTTATTGTTGGTCTTTTTATATCTTTTTTTTTCACTTAACTCTCACAAATGGCAAATCGCACAACAATTTTTTTTCCCTCTTTTCATTCGCTTCGTGTAATAAACTTTTTCCTTCACGTAAATGCACGTGGTTTGTTAAATGGCAAGTAAAAGATGTGGATATGATTGGTGCTGAGCCAAAATGAAATCTCACCGCGCACACAAAAAACCAATGCACTCATCTACACAACAAATCCAATGAATCGTGAAGATAACTCACACCAAAAATAAGCACTTTTATAGGAAATCAAACTTTGTTCACTTTTTCAATTTGTTTTGTTGTTGTTGTTGGTGTTGTTGTGGTTGGTTCTCTCTGGAGAAAAACCGATTTTATTTTTCTAGTTTCACCTTCGTTTGTTATTTCACTCGCGTGTGCAAACAATTAAATATTGAATCACTGGCGTTATTTCAACTGTATCAACTGTATTCATATGAATGAATGTGTTCGTTGCTGTTTATTATTGGTTATTTGCAATTTATAATTAAACCGACCGCATTGAATGATGATTTATGCAATAAAATGACACAATTTTTCTATTCCATTTGCCGTGTTTACAAACGATGTGTTTATGAATAATGAATAAAGAATTCACGTTTTTTGTTTGTATTCGCTGTTAATCAAACACACAGAATACGATGTCAATTCACGCTTATTCACTCATCAGTTTACGTATGCTTTTTTTCACTCTCCGTTCGTACAACCACTATCAATTGTATCTCTCACTGTATCGACACACAATTCAATATCAATTTGAATTTTTCTCCTTTCACTTCTATCGTCTTTATTCACTGTATGAATACACGTCTCGTCAATATTTACAATTCTGATCGATTCGAGCGTGGCTTGAACTTAGCCTTTTATTGCGAGAGTTTTATTCACAACGCAAGCGAAGCTGCTTGCTATTTTTCTCTTCGTTTTTTTTTTTACTCTCGTGATGCTTAATTCGAAGCAATATTAATATTCTTTTGAGTTCTCGCGAATGTTATGTGAACTTGCTGTTTTTTTTCTGCTTGCTTACGTTCGTATGCGTTCCGTTTTAGATGTAATCCACTTCACTGCATGTTACGGTCTTTTGATTAATGTTCATACACATTCAAACACATTGGAAATGTTTGCCGGAGAGAGATAGAGAGAACATGCAGCAGCAACAACAGTAATAGCAATGGTAGCAATGAGAGAAGCGAGAAAAAAACACAGCTCGCGTATTCAAGCAGACAACAACAATAGCAACAGCACAAAGTGCAAATAAATATTCACAGTAATAGCAATAGCTGGTAACAACTGATTGCTTTCTCGCGAATATCTTTGTATTCAGCGCTCTTCAATTTCACTTCACTTTTATTTCTCTCTCAATCTCTCACTCTTTCTTTTTATCGGTTCAAATCAAAACCGATGCACGCAACGAAACGCAACACATGAACGGTGATGAGCTCAATCACTAAAAATTTCGCTTTTGATTCCACTTAAAAATTCTTGAACAATCCGTCGAGCTCGTTTGCTTCGGATATTTCGTTTTCTTCTAGCGTTTCGTCGAGTCACTTGATTTGATATCAACTGTCACTTTTAATTACTGATTGTGTTCGTTTTGCCAGGCATTCATTTGAATAATGATAACTTTTTTTTTCTTCTTCTTCTTAGTATTTGCCGAAAAATGAAACACACGACGTGTTGACAGTCATAAACCGCGAATACGACAATTTTATTAGAATCTGACACACATTTAAAAGACAGTCGCTCCGCTTGTATTGATAGCTAAACATGCACTGAACTCACCACACCATCGAATTCTATTTCGAAGCTGTTTGTTTGGTGTGTAAAATTTGTTCGTGTTACGGCTATAAGTGATGCTGGTGCTTGTGTTGTACCGTCGTCGTCGCCGCTATGTGTATCATCATGGATTGTACGACACAAACGGTCGTCTCACTCGCACACTGTGTGTGTAGGTATTTGTCTGTTGTCGTATTGTTGATACTTTGGCTTCGAGTCCACCATACGCTAGGTTTGACTGTGTGTATCCGGCAAAATGTGTTTGCTTGAATATGGCCGCATCACAGAGTGCTGGAGTCAACGCATCACCAATGTCATTCACGAGTACAGGCCGCTACGTTTGAAGCGTACCGCTTGGCAGACGCAACCGTTTCGAGAGAGTGCCGTCATTCTGCTTATGCTCATTTTTGATATTATTCTCTCGCAATGTCATATGCTCACGCAGTGGCGTCGTAATGTTTTGGTTATTACCGGCAATGGGAGCCGCATTTCATCGTTAGCGATCAATTTGTAACGCATGCGTGGTGCATTTGAACGTTGCGTCGGGGAAATGATATCGATTCGAGTCTCACGTTTTGAGAGAGAGCGAAAAAATGACATTTCCAAGCTTTGAGAGCGTGACAATTGTTATGATGCGCAAATCAAGCTCCATCCCAATGTCACCGGTTCCCTTCGTTTTCACGAAATCAAACTGGGGAAATGATATGGTCATTTTCCTTGAGATCTTTTCCACGGTTACTATTAAATGCAACTCCACTTTGAATTTCACTTCAGTTGCGTTTCGAACGTCGTCACCGAATCGTCCGCTCTTGTTTGATTCAGAATTTTCGATCGACTGAACCACCATTCATACAGGCAGAACATTTTACGCAAGTGAACAACGGTCTACAAAACCATTAGGTGCATTAGCGAGCACATTACGCTCAGGCGATGCTTCTTCATTTATCGATTTTGACCCAGTCGTAGACCGATTTTGCCGTTTTGCTCGATTTCACTAGGCACTAGCCTATTAAATCCTCCATAGAACAAAAAACACAGAGAACCAAATGGCAACGCATCTGCAAATTTGTTGCTTGGTTTCATCAATTGATTTTAATAAATTGTTTCCAACAAATTTAATATCTCAACAAATGACTCTTGATGTGTTTTTTATTTTGTTTTTTACTTCTACTCTGTTCGAATGGGAAGCGAGGAAAAAATAATGTTTTTTCCTCTCTTTAATCGTAATGGTGATTACAGTTTTTCTGTGTCGTCTTTTTATTCTGATAAGACCAAATCAATCATAAAAGTTGCCAATGTTTTGGCAGCGCTATTATATTGATTCCATTTAATTATTGGCATATTCTTCATACCAAACCTGCTCAAATGGGCATTTAACCGTCAAAAAACTTAAATATTGACCTCATTATATGATTTTGACATCGTTTTTGGTGGAAAATAATCCGCAATGGAATAAAAATATTTTCGTTTTTTTAGGCAAGTTTAACGACCGCAGGATGATGACATAATCTCGATTGAGAAGAATTATTTAATTATTAAGTATTATTTCATTAATAATTTTAGCGCACGTGTAATAGAATAGAAAAAAAATGGAGCTAATTTTGAATCTGTCTCTGTCAATCTTTGTTTATCAACCCACGAATTTGTCTTTTTCATCAAAACCAAACTCAACCTACCGTAGCTAATTTTAGTCAAAGCGGTGGGTTTCACGAATTTGCGTAACTTTCGTCGAATATCGGTTTTAAATAACACAATTTCAGTAGAGTACGAAACGGGGGAAGAGAACTTCCAACAATGAAAATAGAATGGTTTTGAGTGATTAAAAGAAGAAGAAAAAACTATGTATTGAACTGAAGAATTGAAATGAGATATGCCTAAAATAACAAAAGGCTGGATCGCGGAAAAGGTTTCATCAAAAAATGTTCTCTTCAGAATTGACAAGGGGAGCAAAAAGGCGCCATTTGTTCCATCCATAAATGAAATTGTATTCTCTCGACACGAGGCCAAGAAATTGATGAATTTTTTGCACATAAAATTAATGATTGAAATTCGTTGCACACTTGTTCATCGTTCGAAGCAACTTTAGTGGTCGAGCAATTTCCTTTCTGACAAGGCAGCAACAGTGTCAATGGAAGAGATATATAAAGCGAGCGAGAGAGTATTCGAAAATAAAGCATAATGAATGGCCTTTGTGCTGGAAATGTTATCTCGTGTCGGTGCAACGGAGAAGCTATTGCATTGACCTGACACATTTTGTGCTGACTGAATGTGGAGTCGTTAGAGCGTAGCGCAGTTAGAAAGCGATCAAAAGGCAACAAAACTATCTGCGATCTGACAATTATCTAACTTCAATGAAATATGTTTATTTTTTTTTCTCCTTGTCCCTATATGTCTCTCTTGTTGCCTTTGCGCGCTCACTTCAACACACACACACATACACACATTTTTAGGTTCGTAGTGGTAGTGTCGTGGCGTGGCAATTTACACAAATGTGTCGGCGATGACTGTAACAACGGGTGCATCGTTATGTTGCAATGGATTCACAATTGTAAAATATAATGTACCGACCGAAGTGGTGGATCCGTTGCAAGTAACTAATGCCCATGGATCGGGATTTTTTCTTCAATTGTAAATTATACCAGATCGCTGCAGTTGTATGGCACAGTATCCATCCAATGCTACTATTTTGTGCCATTCATTTTCATTTTTTCGCTCTTCCTTTTTATTGTTTTTATTTTTCCGTCTCTCGTTTGATCTCTTAAATTGCATTTTACGTTCAATTTCATGTGTGCACTTTCTCAGGCACGGTTCCTATCGGTTCTCGGCTTGTGCACAAAGATGCATCGATACATCGTTGCTATCACATTGTGCAAATCATTCCATTCTATTTCCCATTTATGTGTAATCGCATGTTTTCTAATTTATCAACTTAAATCGAATGCAATGGCATAAAATGCCGTTTTCGGAGAGAAAATCGATGAGAACCGGTTGCCTTATATCAACTTCCGCAATCCGCTTTTCAACTAACTTAGAAACATTTTATGGTCTCTCTCCGTTCGTTTCGAAACTTTATGTTTCGAACATAAAACGCAACACGGAGCTGAGAATGCACTCGAGATTCGAGAGACATATAGCAAGAGTGAGAGAGTTGAATGAGAGACATGGCAATTACGGCATTTCACCTCAATGAAGGTCATTAATTATTATCACAACTATCCAAAGTATTATCATTGGTTGACTTTATTATCCGATTTATTTGCGCTCTCAAGCCATGAGTAATGCTCATTGACTTGCATTTTGCTTGTTCATTATATCAAAATTTACGTCGCATTTCGCTTCGAATCGGCCACAAAATTGATTTAATGCGATTTTTCCAATTGCAAAAGAACAAACAACAATACATAAGAAAAATATCCACCAGTTGTTACCATCCAAATGGAGTTTGGTATCAGTAACAAGAGTCGAAATAGATACGAGCAAAAAAATGTGGGAAAAAAGACAAAGCCATCCATTTATTGTAGAAAAAACCAACAAATAATAACGCTTTGACATATTTATTGGCCTAATTACATGTTGGTTTGTGCAAAGCGGTTTACGAAATCGACACTCGTCGATAATATAATATAGATGTTGCGTCAATGTGCTAATTGTGCGGATAGCAAAATGTGCTCGTGTGTATACTGCAATGGAGAGGCAAAACTCCACAAGAATGGAAAGGAAATAATCTCATTGTAAGTTCTGTATCAACATGTGAATGGATAAACACAAATGGCGAACCGAAGAGAAGACAAATCGATACATAAAAAACGAGATACACATGATAAAATGGACTTCAATGATTCGAAATTCAATTCAATGGTCAAAGTGAAAGCGGCCCAGCTCAAGGTTTTTCACTGTTGGTGGTGTTAACAAGGCCAATGTGAATGAATGCGTTCATTGCGACGCATCGAATACAATGTCCCCAATTTTTTTTTTTTCGACGGTTTTTTTCTTCATTCTTTGTGTTCGGGGGCGATGCGTCGTAAAAATGAGCGAACGTTATATATCATCCATTGTATGATTGGTGTCGTCCACTCTCCCGCAGCAACCGTATAATAGAATCATTTTTGGTTTTCGGCATGAATATGACACATAAACACATTTGATTCGGGGTAAGCGTGCGAGCGATCCGAATGCGTCCATAAAAAATTCGCTTTCACTCAAAAAATATCCATCATCTTTTTTTCTCTTCTCTTCCAATGTTTGTTTGTTTGTCTCGGTTGATGTCGATGTTTGGCGCTTCGGCTAAAAGGGACTCCAAATCAAATCACAGTGAATCATCCGCACATACACCAACTGCTACTTTTTCTCTTATTATTGCATTCGTATCACTGAAATAAAAAAAACGGTTCTTATGTAATCGATGTTTTGGATTTTCGGCCAAAAGTTTGTTGATATTTGCCTTCCACATTTCGCTTGCAAAACAAAACGAACAAAAAGAATATGACGCACGTGAATTGGTTTGTTCACGTGGGAAAGCAGAGGCGCACAATGACACCGAAAAATTACTACCGAAGCCATAACTTTTATTGCGCTCTCATCCATCAATGGCTTTGGGTCTCCATGCAATCTATATATTTTTTTTACTGGTCTAACATCTAAGGGTATCCTGATGCTATCGATACTCTTGTACACATATTTATCTAGTCGTTGCGAAATTACTGGTTCGAACTGTCGAACCATAGTCATATATCGTTGTTCACCATTTCACATATATATTTATATATATATAATATATATATATATGCACCAGGCATCATTGAATCCGCCTGGATTTTCCACTCGTTTTGGCATCATCTCTTGGTTTCAAACCAACCATATCCATTGTCGCTGATTGCCAGGTCAAATAGTATATATGTATCAATATTTGCGAATTTATGTTTATGTCGCGTTGACAAGGAATCCAAACGGCCGATTTCACTTAATCCCGCACGATGCCAAAACTTGATTTTCGACATTTACTCAACCG